GTTCTGGTTCAGGGGGTTAAAGAGGATTAAAGCATGCCGTCCCTGCAGTGAAACATAATTGTAATACACTTATGTTGTGGAAATGCTTTTCTTTAGCTGAGACAATGACCCTAGTCAAACTTGATAGTTGCTGCAAAAATACGGGGCAACCATTGAAGAAAATCTGTCAGAGGATGTAAAAACCTTATGAGCAGTGCAAAGGTGACCTTCCAGAAAGATAATTGTCCAAATGGATCAAAACATATATTCCTGTAAGAACAGAGGCAAAAACATTCACAGATACTATCCATCTCATCCGACTGAAATTTAGCAGTTTTGTACTGAAGAACAGGCACACATTTCTGTATAAGCTAGTAGAGACATGCCCTAAATTACTTGCAGCTATGACTTCAGCAAACAGCAAAGTGAATATACACTTTTTAATAGTAGCTTAACATGAATATTTTTAAGCAGTTGCAAAGCACTGACAGCACTATAAAACTTCTTATAGTAAAACCCCTTGATGGAGAGGACAGGGCTCAAGTGAATCAATATGGAGTTAGCTAATTATAAATCTGTAATAATGTTCATTAAGGTTTCAAGCACACTGTGTCATGTGTTTATATATATATATATATATATATATATATATATATATATATATATATATATATATATATATATATATATATACAAAATATAGTTGTTGCAATGTGCACTAGGGTGACACCATAAATTGGGCAAAACCCACATGGGGAGAGGTAGCATCAAAGCGAAGGCAATTGTCATTTTTTTGTGTTGGAAAAATAACACCAGAAAACAATAAATGGATACCCTGTAGTGCCTAGGATAATGTCTCATATTTATATTTAGTTGATTTTGGAAGGCTTAAAAAAGCAAGATATAGGAACATAAAGAATCTGGGAATCTTTGGTACCGATCTGCAGACTTTCCCAGTCATATTTACAACCAAAGTTCAAATTTGTATCGGATGTGTTCCCCCCACTGCTCTGCGTTAGCCCTCTCTTCACACCCTTTTGCTGTATTTGAAAGGCGTCAATGAAAGAACTTTGTCAGTCTGCTCACAGGGGCCGAATAGAACCCTATGCACATATTTCAGAGACATTCCTGTGGTTGAACTGGATTTTCCGTCCGTCTCCACACCTCTTCTTACATACACATAAGCTATGCCTTGCAGTGATGCAGTGGTCACTTGAAATGGCATTCACACAATCAGGCTCAGATAACAGTGTGGCACATGGAAATATTCCTTGTCAATCACAAAGGTTATATATTCAAAATCTTTTTCGAATTCAGATGTAACCTGGCAACTTCAAAATTTTCAATATATTTGTTTTTTATTCCTCTATTTAAATTTTCCTCACATATAAGTCAGAAAAATAAAGGATATACAGTAACTAACTGTGAGGCATACATAATTAATGCTCAGGAATTTTCACACAAAAACTATGTAATCTAGATCAGTTCCCTATGTTGAAAGATAGTGTTGATCACATGGGTTTCCCACGCTAACTGAAAAATCATCTGCTGTCAGTTAAACTGTCACATTAAAATATCTTGAACAAATAAGTGCTCTCACAAAGAGAGAGGCTTTACTGGCATAAATCATGCCTTAACAAGCCTTGACATTAGAAACACTAAGATGTCTCCCTAGTTGTCTCTCTGATTGCCTCATGTGCGACTGACTCACAAAACTTGATGTGAATGAGTGTCATGTGTTCACTGAATATTTTCTACTAAAACAATATTTTCTTTCTTTTATCCTCAAATATGACAAAAATATTTGTTGCGAAACAGCCAGTTAAAGAATGTATACATTTTTTATTTGTTGCTACATAAATGAAGGATCAAGGAACGTTATTTTCTAACTTTATGATTTTACTTTTTAAGTATATTCTACTACATTTTCTATGTTGTGTGACTTTAAATGTTTAGTTCAAATAACTAAAGCTTCCTCTTTAATATAATTAAAATTGTTGATCTTTTACAAGTGAGCATCTTTTACTAATAAAACTCTTATCACATGACAGATATAATCTTTAATCTTTTGAAACCATGTACCTGAGTTGTAAAATACTGTATTTCAAGAGGGCAAAAACCTTGAAGAAGTTGTGTATAGATATTATAATTGCTTAATGTTTGAATTTGTTAGTCAGATAAACTTTAGCGCATGTGTTGCCTCCACTGCCCTCTTGTGGTCAAATGTTATTGCAGCTTATATTAACTTAAGATAAAAATGTTTTATATACTGCATTTTAACCTCAGTTTTTAATGCTTATTGTAATGGAAGTAGGTTGAATACAGCATTGCAAGGTAAAAAAATAATAATAATGTGGACATTTTCCTACGCAACAGTGTAATACTTACACTGTTATATAGGATTGTTCAAAGACGGTATGATTTATTCTAACATTTTACCCCTGAGAAACGTAGAGAATACAATTTAGCATCAATGAAATTAAAACACATATCAACTTTATATACAACTTTGAATTTTTTCTTAATTTGTCCAATGCACAGAAAATCAGAGCCTTTCACTGTCAGATGAGACAAAATTGAGATAATAATCATAATAATGATTTATGTATTCAGAGGAATCAAATATTTTTGAATGAAAAACATTGGAGCAGCTTTAAGCATCATGGTGGGAGCTTTTAAAGATGAACCTTTATTAAAGATGAACCTTTATGAGCCTCCATATCATGCACTGTAATGTTTGTAATTAGGTTGACCGCAATCAAACAAAAAAGTTCTATTAACTACCTCTTAGATAGAATTAAAACACTTTTTTTAAGTTATTTAAATAAGCATTAAAATAAACTTTATTAGAGAAATAGCAAAGAAGCCAAATTCATATCTAGTTTCATACTGGAAAATTTTATTCAATTGCTGTGAAGTTCAAGGCATCGGTATAGTGATAAAGGTATGCAGATTCCTTTAAAATGTTATCTGTTTATGGAAACACAACTTTCCTTTAGTAACAGGAAATAAAAAGGGAATGTGCAAAAATTATAGTTTGAAACCCACAACATTGATTTTCTCTTTTTAAGAAGTATTACTCCTTGGGGAAAATTCACACCATGTCCTAACTAAATGTTTAGCTGTCCAATGTCCAAATTATTTTTAAACATGTTGTAATTGCATTCTTGGCAATTTAATATTTGAGCGATTTACAGATATTAAGTCTAGTTTGCTTTCTTTATTTTACTACTTGTTCACATAATTCACTGTAATAGTAACAATTAGCCTTAATGAGACTAAAGATGCCAATAAGCTTCTTTCCATCATCAAGTCCATCATTAGTGTTCTTCATTCTCATAAATCTGCACATTCTATCACTATCAGTAATGCTCAGCTCTACATCCTCTGCTGAAGAAAACATGCACAAGATGCAGAATATCTTAGCAATAATATCAGTATTATATCATGTTTGTATTTTTTAGACGTATTGGTATCCCTCTGATAAGTAAAACTGGGCTGATATTAACAACCAATATTTAGATTCATTAAGGCTGTCGGCCGTTTTTGTTTCAGGGCATGAGGGGACAGGATCTGTCATGTGGTATTTGTTTGGTATTGTGTCGGATTGTGATGCAGCAGAGAAGCAATGTTAGCACTGCGGTCAGTCTTTCATGGTGTCCAATGGCAAGGGAAATATATGATATTGGTTAACATATGTTAAAAGCCATAAGGACAATCTACAAAAAGATTTAAAAAATAGTATTTAAGTACTAGTTCTTAGTTTGACATTTTCTAGTTACTTCTATATTTCCATCTTTTGTGCTATAAGCATTCGTTCTCCAGAGTAGGATCTTAGCGCAGATGCGGGTAGCAGAGTGAGTTAAAACTAGATTTGAATAATATTATGGGGGGAAACTTACAGCCAGGTCCCCGTCCAGAAAGTAGGATAAATCAGAACTCAGCTAGAGTCAGAAATAAATTTGAATGTAAAACTCCACATTATCAGGGTTTAAGTTTCAGAAAGCTGGATAGATAATTAACCCCAGAAGTTTCAGACTTCTCTACAATGTTTTTTTTTCTTCCCCTGACTTCTTGGGGTGGTACTTTCCTCAATGTTCAATGTTTTTTAATAACCACAATCTAGCTCACTTAAAAAAATCAAAAAATCTTCAAAACCAAGCCACTTTATCTAGAACTTCTTTGCATTGTGGCTCTTCAGCAGCTTGAATCATCTGGAAACACCCAGATGTGGCTCTGTCTACTCAACTAAACCCTTCTGAAGGACCATGTCACCCTCAGTCCCAATTCTGATAAATCACCCTGTTTACCCATTACACAATGTTCTTGGAGAGCCAACTTTGATGACATAAGAGTTTCATGTAATTTCATACAGTAGGCCTTCCATCCGTCTTTGCCCTGTAACGCAGGGCCTGCAATGTTGTGATTTGTTTCAGTTCGTGCTGCAGGGCAAAGCCTCTTAGTGTTTTGTTTCTCAGGACTTGTTTCCATGCAGAATAATTGCGTAACCTGACATGAATTTGGCTCCCGGTGTTACAGTACTCAGTTTCTGTCCAGCTTCAATGCTGTACAGTATGTGCATTTTTAATCTTTTTTGCCCCCTTTCTGATTATTTAAGTACTTCCATTTTCAGATGGGAAATTAACAACTCACTCTGATAACCACAGGCTTGACCTCTAAACTGAAATTGTTCTGTCTTTTATGGATTTACTGTTGTTTCATAACTTACAGCCACAACATATATTTGTTCATGTGGCATCTTGGCTGCAGGAAAGAATTGAAGGGCTGACCTTATCTTCTTGCACATAATGTTGTTTGGCAAAGCCTGATGACTCACCATATGTCAGCCTGGGTGGGTTTATCAAAGTGAAGGGGTCCCTCTAGTGGTTATGATTGGTAATTACACAACACAAACATGTAGAAATAAGTGCTGTAATACTAAAATCCCCATTTTTGTCTACCTTCAGGATATAAACGTGTGCATTCTAGAGAATTACCCAGAATGCTCCAATCCCCGAGTTTTCTACATCATTCCCTACTTCTGTGGACAACATCCTCAATGCAGGTAAATTTACAGTTCTGGTAATATTTTACATACTAGAATGACAAAATTGTTCTTTATTCTGACTTATAATTTGTTGATGTGTTACAGAGAGCCTGGAGTGTGGGCTTTGGAGAGGGCCAAGCAAAATGTGCTGGAGAACTACCTCCTCGTTGGTGTCTTGGAGGAGCTGGAGGATGTTTTGCTTATGCTGGAGAGGCTCTTACCCCATTATTTCTCTGGAGTCCTCAATATATACAAAAGCCCAGGTGGGTGCATCCATGCTGATAGATTTCAGTAAAGGTGATAGCTACACATTGAACTTTAAAATTAAGGCTTTTATTCTGCACCACTCTAAACATTCGGCGGATGTATTTTATTTTATTTTTTTATTGTTTTGATAAAGAAGTTGTAGCTGTGAACTTAAAGCTTATTATTATTATTTAATAAAGACAATAAAGCGTTACAACTTTAGATATAAACTGCAATTCATATGATCAATTGTGCATTTTGATTGAGTTAAGAAATGTTTTTCACAGCAATAAATCAAGAAAGTATCCAAAAGTAAAAATAAAAGGATATACAGGTAGGCAGATAATAGGATGAGCATACTTCATCTTTTCCTGTGTTGCTAATAAATGGCCAAAAATCGATTCAAAATGTTCACTTCAGACATACATTGTTTTTATGACAGCAAAACTATTCTCTTCTTTTTAAAAGAAATAATAGGGGTCCCTCTTTTTTTTTTTTGTCCCTCTTTTTTTTTTTTACACATCATTATCCATACATGGTTATTCAGGTTGGGATCCAAATAGCTCCTTTTGTGTATGTAAATAAGAGCATTACTAGTAAAAAATGCTTAGAAAGTAGAACAGAATATTGAATTTGTATTTTTTGGCCTATTGTATAAACCTCAATATCTTTTTTTCTTTTCCTTTCTCTATCAAAGAATATAGAAAAATGGGGAACTTGACCGGTACGGTCCGTAAGCATACTCCTACTCTGGAGGCCCTGCAGGTTCTGTACCACCGCATGCGGTATGAGTACGAGTTCTACGACTTCATCCGTGACCAGTTTCACCTCATGAAGAGGAAAATTGGGCTGAGGTCTGTCTCCCGTCCTCCGGCCTACCCGCCTGATTTCTTGCGTAAACTGGCTCTTCGGACACCAGAACCTTTGGATGAAGATGAGGAGTTGGACTCAGACCTTGAGGACGCCAACAGCTGGCTGGACCATCCCTGATGACTGTGTACACAGTGGATGAAGCCAAATAAAAGATCAAGCTAAAACTGCCTAAAGAAAGAATGAGGCAGCCAGAGGAATAGTGGATGTGTTATCCATCTTTTGGATGTCAGCACCTTTATTTTTGAGAATTCAGTTTTCAGTCTTCAGGCTCTTATTCTGAAAGGCCCAGCACTTTGGACTTGAGGAACTTAAAGAGACAAAAAAAATATGTATTTAAAAGCTGGCCGAGGACAGATGGGAATAATAATAAGCTCAAAGTATTTTATGATCTGTTTTTACTGGAGCATGTTGAGAGGATTTTCAGATCTTCATAGTTTAAATCTCCGGGAGAGATTAGCGGACAACTACGATAGGAGTACTTGGGAAATACATTAAATGGTGGAGAAGACTTCAGAGACATTTCCCAATCTTTCATAAAACTGCTTATGCTATAAAAATCGATCTGTGTCGTGGATTAGAAACAAGTGCCATAATCTTTGTTTGTATTTTAGCTGTCCAGAACTTTTCTAAGTGCCAAATCTTAAGGATTTCCTGTAACCGTGAGACTGGAACCTTTGTGAGCACAATTGGTATCAGTTGTGAAATCAGTTGTTATAAGACAAGTCTATAACATTTAATTGAATTGCAAGATTTTATAAAGTATGAATGAGGGTTAAACCTTGTGCATCTATTATGAATTCAGAGAATTCCACCTAGATGTGCATGAATCACTGAGTTAGACTGTGCAGAGAGTATTTAAGAATAGTTTTGTTGTCTGGAAAGACCTCTCCTTGTTAGTATGGCAAGGTTATGAGTTGCATGCTAAAAGTATATTGGGAGCCTTATTTTAATTCCAAAGGTGAAAAAAAATCAAGTTTACCAAATAACAGTGTTTAGCTGTGATACTTTTTTGACAATATGTAAATATCCAGCAGTTTTTTTTTTGTTTAAATAATGCTTTATGAAGATCTGCAGCAAAATGAGGGATTTGATCAAAACTGGACAACATTTTGCATTGTGCTTCTTTAATGTCCAAGGATATTGGCTTGCAAAGTACAAGAGAACTCATCCTACTGACCCAAACCTGATGTTTTTTTATTGTTGCATTAATATTTTCAGTATTGTTTTTTCATATCAATTTAATTTATTATTTTGTAATCATTTGCATTCAAGATAAAATTCTCAGGAAGGAAAACATTGTATGATACCTTCATCAAATGTATCATGTTATGTCAAGGTCATGAAGCTGCATTTGCAATGTTACTACAGGTGAAAATGACAAATGCATTCCATCATTTTACGTCCTTGAAATAAATGCCCTCAGACTTTTGCAGCTAATTTTTGATTGATTGTTTGACTTTATTGATCTCACAATGGAGAAATGTGGTTACATCAGTTCAAATAGTCAGGAGAAGAAGAAGGTCCCAAACGAAAAAAAAGGTGCATGGGATATATACAGTGCATCCACATATGGCAGCTTTTTTTTATTATTATTATTTTAGTAGGGTTATTATATATGGGTTATTGCACAGGGTGTTTACATGGGTGTTTGTATAGATGGAAACATGGGTATTTATGTAGATGGAATACAATAATATGCCTGATAATTAATTTTTGCACAAATGAATAGCTGTCCTGCATAGACTCATAGCTCATCTCAGCTTACTAAAGCACCTCTTTGAAGCAAGACGTCCAATGTTATGGCATTTATTCCCCTCTGCATGTCTGCCTCTTTCGTCACAAGAGAAAACCTTTATACTACCGCTTATTTTACCACTTTCTCAGCTAATATCTTTCTAAAGTTGATGGACGACAACATTTCAGGTCAGATAATTAATTTCTGCCGTTTAAAATTTTTCAACCTCTTTCATGATGTCAGGCAGGTTAGAATGAATCAGTTTCTTAATTCTACAGAACTGGCAGTGATAAAGCATGGGTGTGGCAAGTGAACTTAAACTCAAATGTCCACAAAATTGCTGCCTTTTAGTTTCCTGTTCTGATACAGAAATGAGCTTTATGCCCCATCTGTGGACAGAAGCGGTGGCTAACATTAGCAGGAAAATTTAAGGCTCAACTGTAGCCGCTTACTTTAAAATTTCCATCCTCACAAAAGTAAACACAGGTACACACAGACTTGCAGGTATTTCATGGGCAGTTTTCCACTCAGAAGCTGAATACAAAGATTTGCTTTATGTGTAGGGTGGAGAAGGGAGAGTGAACTTTCTGCTGCTTCGGTTTAACCTCGTCAAACAGGAAACAGATGAGAAGGTCACATTAGAGCTTAGAAATCATTTCACTTAGCAAGTTTTTTATGAAACAGTCTTTATTTAGATTACTTTTGCTCTTCTCAGTATCACTGTAAAATAGTTTCCTGAAGCAGAAACACATAAAACTGTATAACAAATGCTCTGTATTCCTAAGGAGGACTATATTATAAGTATTGTTCTTTTATTACAAAAATAGCAAAGAAGCTATTGGTGCAAAAACAATCATATGATTGTAGAGCTGAATTCTGAACACCATTGCTCCCATAATGCTGTCTTTGGACTGGAAACTATATATCACCTCACAACTGGAGTTTGTTCCTGGATTTGGTCCAAACATCTGGAGATTATATTCTGACCCCTGAACACACACATGATGTGCATTTCTCTGAGTATATCTAGCATATAGACTGAAAAAACAATACAAGCATATGAAAAACTCACCTAATGGTTTCAATAACAGCTACAACTAACAAAACATACAAACAGATAGAACTTATTTTAGGTTCTAAAGGTAAACACATCGATAGCATTATGGCCAAGGAAGAAATAAGGCAGTCAAAATGATGTTAAACTGTAATACTTTTAGTATCCTAGTTTCACAGTTGTCTGAATGCCCTGAGATGATTTAGTACCAAAAAACCTTTAAAACAAAAAGGCACTTCTTATATTATGATACATTCAACAGTGCTAAATTGTCAAAAACTGATTTGTGAATCAATCAGTCTATTTTTTTTTTTTTACTTGGCTGAGTACAAAGAAGTTCAGCTTATTGGCATGGCTTTTTATCCTAATATTGAAGTCTTTAAAAACCTGCATCAAATACAAAAATAAGGCTAAAATTGATCTAATGCTATTATGACACATTTTCCTGTGGTCTCAGACACACACTAAAACATCACGCATACATACTCCATTGATCACACAAGTATTTATACATGTAAGTCAGAGGTTAGGTTAAAATGTTGGTCACTTTGCAAAGCAAAATGTCAACAACAAAAAAAATAATAATAATTTCAAGCATTTTGTTGAAAGTTTTTTTTTTTTTTTTTCCAATCCATTAAACCTGTGATTGTTTGCTTGTCTCTCATTCGTCAGTTTATTTTTCCTCCAAAATTTTGCCCTGGTTTCCAAGCAGCATAAAAGCTCAGGCCTTAGCTTCATGTTTGCTCAGCTCCATCCCATCCTCTGCATCTTTATCAGTGGCTGACTTCTTCTTGCTGGGGTCACGTCCAAGAGCTTCTGCCTCTTCCAAGGTGGAGGGTAGAGGTTTGCCCAACGTCTCAGGTAAGAGCAAGGTCAACACACCAATGATGAATGCCAGGATTCCTACAATGAGCTGCAAAAAAATGTGATAAAAAATAAATTAAAAGTATACCTTTAATTGATAAAGCGTAAAAATTGAGATGCCTCGAGGTCCGGAGACCAACATACAGAACTGTTGATAAAAAGGTGACCTTTTGATGGTAAAGCTGTAGTAACTATGATCATATTATCTAATCCGAACCATGGCTTTGTTTAGAAAAAATATATGTACTACTGAATGAAACATTTGTGAATTGCTAGAGTTTTTCATATATTTAACGACGCAAGACAAAAAAGTAAAATAAAAGTTTCAATATATGTAATAAAAAGAATTTATCTCATTCTGTTTTTTTGTTATATTTTTTTTCTAAGAATTTAGATTCTAGTGTTGTGACTATAAAAAAAAAGATTAACTAAGAAGATATTGTTTGTTTTGAGCCTTGGTAAAAAAATTTGGCATAGACTGTTCCCCTACTTGTTGTCTGTCAGTGCTACTTCCCCTCAATGACCACTGACCATGCTACAGGTACCTCACAAATTTGTACCTGACTTTCAAACGCACTTAATACAGATACATTTGGTTGATAAAATTTATTGATGGTTGCATTTAAATTTGCACATCATCCCTCCAGTATTTATGACATTCTAATGCTTAGTGTATTTTCTTTGCTAAGAAAAACACACTAAATGGACTGTGCCTGATGTTCTACTTATTTTAGGGATGCAATCCGATTTGCATCTGGTTAGTAGATCCTTTGTGCTCATGCTACCAAGTTTGCACATTTTTTATAGATGTAAAGCTTTAGTAAATCCAGCCCTTAGACTTTATTTGAATAGTTTGCAGAAAGAAGGAGAAGGTTGTGCATACCTGAGGTAGATAAACCCAGACATCAGCCAGGTAAACACAGAAAGGAGCCACCACACTGCCAACACGGCACATCATGCTGCCAGTACCTACTGCCAGGGACCTGCAGAAGGTACGTCCACAGTACAATATATTAAAACAATTAATTCCTTATAAAGTGACAAAAATACATAACTAATTATTCAGAAAAAAATATCTATAAGAGAATTGACATCAGTGCTACCATCTTTATCAACTGACTACAAGATTCAGAGGCATCAAGAATGTTATTGGGGGGACGATCAGAGCTCTGATTACTGTATAATGCTTGGGGGTGTAGACGTAGCTGTTAAAACAAGTCACAATACATGTTTTCTGCATGCTTGATTTTTTTTTTTTTTTTCTTACCTGATGACAGTTGGATAAAGCTCACAGGAGTACAGGTAGATTAGACCGAAGGCAATTGCCACAGCAAACTTTCCGATCATACTAAGAGCCACAGCAAGAGCGTTTATGTCCTGCAAACATGACAGAGTTGTTTTATGTATACATCTGGCTGCATGTAGATGTTTAGAGTTAAAACACTAATTAGCCAATGAGGTTTTAAAAAACAGCTTAAAATCAAATCTGCTTTGTTTGATTTAGTGGAACAAATTAAACTATACAACTGACTTCAAGTGTGTAATTTTTATATTTTCCATGAATTTAATTACCTTGATTTTGGGGTGCATTCATTTGGGGAACAAACTGTTGTTTTTATCATGTATACTGTGACTCAATGCTTAACACAACACTGTTTACAGTATAGCAGCATTCTGTGCTGTCTAAAGCAAAACATTAGCAATCTTTCTGTCAAAAGGGTTACTTGTGGAAGGTGGGAGTTTTTCTCCCTACTATAGGCACGACCAAATGTCCCCTGAAAGTCTAAACATAGTGCTGAATGTACAGAAAAACCGTTGGCTGTCATTCCTAGTTTGAAAACATAGAACGGCTTTGGAAAACTACTGAGATAAAAACAGATGTTCAGCTTTGCACCTCTTTGTTTAATAAAGTGCTGTTTTTTTTAAAATCAAGGTCATGCACCAAAAAAAGTATGATAGTGACTTGGCAGATTTTTAACTACACTGACAAATTTTTCATATACGGAAGCCGATAGCGGTCGTGTCCTTCTGATACTTTTTCACGGTGGTTTTGTTATTATCTAAATTTTCTCATTATCTAATGATAATGAAAGCCGTTTTCTTGTGATGAGATGATTGGTGTGTATTAAAATTGATTACATCCTTCAATACCACAACAGTGGGAGAGGACTTATAAGTATAAGACATAGCAGTCCATGTGTAAGTCTGTAAATAATCCTGTGTTTAACTTTTATGCAACAACACGGCGTTGGGGGTGGGAAGATTTGCTTCCACTTTGATTCATAACCTATTAGACCTACAGTATGCCTCCGGTGCAGTAGCGCCGGATGTTTTCTGAACAGCCCCGCTGTTACGCTTGTAAGAGGTATAAAATGCAGACCTCCAAAATGAGTCCAGATTAAAGATATTCTTTAAAAAAACAGATCTGTTTCTACTGTATTCAATGCAATCCAGTCAGACACCACAACCTGACAATGAGTGAAAAGAAAAAAGAAACAAAAAAACTGATTATCTGCGCACACACGGTACCGCGACTGCACAACTATGGGCACCACAGGCATGGATGGACTGGGAATCCAGGGTTGTTGGCCAGCCTCATTCACTACTCTTACAGGTTAATCATCTCGTTATCTCAAGAAATCGATAAGTGTTTTATTGTGATAACAAGATAAATACCTCATTATCTTGAAAAAACAATTAATTAATGAATTTTTATAGTGATAATGAGATACTAAAAAAAAAAAAAGTCAAGCACAACCACTCTCGGCTTACGTAGTCATAATTTCTACTTTTTCACCAATTTGTGACCAAACAATAACATAAAAAGGTTGCCATTAACTGAGGTTGGTTTAATGATGAATGAAGACACACAAGTTTGCCTTTTTCTATATGCAATGTAGATAACATGTAGTTAGAGTACACACAGAGAACTAAAAAACTTAATGAAAGTGAACTATATTTTCTTGGAGGTTCATTCTAACGAATTGTCTGCCGTCCCTTCGGGCTGCAAGATGGTTCAAGGGAGAATGATTTTCAGCACAGAAGGCTGTCTCACCTCTGTCACAGAAAATACCTTATTTGGAAATGTTGGCAGCCATTTGGAAATCCCAGATTGAAGGTATGGGACTGCATTGTTTACTATATATAAAAGGTGACCTATGTTTAGCCATAGTTAGAAGTTAAAGCCCTGATAATTACTAATATCAGATGCCCAAGCAAGATTATAATGTTAACTTTGTAATTTTTCCAGTGCTTTGCCATCATAAAAAGAAAACTGGCCACAAAAACGTTGCGATACATCTTTATTGTGTAAGCTTTGGCTTTTTTCCCACTGAATTTCGCAGCTTAATGTGGGTTTCTCTGATACTAGTCGACGTACTAACAATCAGCATTTGGCTCGCTTTTCATTTCCATCTTTTTCAGCAAAAAATTCTGGGTCTGACACCTGCTGGCAAGCTATATGGTCTCTGTCCCCCCACTGCTGCATGTCTAGTGACATCATTACAAAGGGTTAGCGTTGATGATACCACCAGTGTGACAGAAATCAGGAAAGTAAACAATTGAGAGCAACATGTAAAGAAGCCAGCGCGTAGTAAGTGTGCTTTATTGCTTCATTCTTTTGTCCCTCCAAATCCTTCTTACCAGTGCTGCACTATGTTAATCGGATGTAAGCAGAGTTGTTTCGTCTTCTTGGATTGTCTTGTTAGACTGGCCCGATATTGTGACGTACGATCGTTGCACTAATTGGTATCACATAAATTAGCAGGTCAACACGGGTCTGATGTTCCCGCTGTGCCAATGGGAGCTGAACCATTTGTAGGTGGTATAACCCGGGTAGTTTGTCGAGTTGTTTGACCCCGTAGACGCGAATCAATGAGCTGTTCCCACTGCCACTAAAAAAGCTGATTGTTCGCGGTTTTAAACCGGTTTTTCAGCCAATGGAAAAGGGGTATATGATTTTCGTCTAGAAGTTATTATGCAGACATTTAACTAAGGATATTTTAGTAAAGCCAATATATAGTATTTGTGTTTCTATATATTCTTGTGAGTAGACTCAGAAAATATAGAAATATAAATAATATGCAAACAAATTGTGTGTCCAGTTCCTACTGTTCAGTTAGAATTTAGTCACCTCATGTCTAACCTGCTCTGTTCTAAATTGCTAGTCAAAGGTTATATTTACTCAAATGTTTAGTGCAAGTTGTTTGCTAGAGCAACCCTAAACATGAGTAATGTGGGTCAGAGACCAGAGTACAAACACATTTTAGACTGGAAGTTTTAAATATCATAGTAGAAAACAGTAATCATCCAGAACCTCAGAACACCGACTTAAAACTAAGCAGAAATTTTTTTTATAAATTGAAGAAATAAATAAATGTTGCCTATTAATACACAGCTTCCCCCTTACTGCTTTAGTAAAAACATTTAACATATTGACTCTTTAAACATTGGTACAGGCATAGATTTGCCCCACAAAATGTTGTTGGATGAATCTACTAAATATTTAGAGGAGGCCTAATCAGTCATGTCAAATTACTACTTTTAGTAACATTGGAGCTTATACTGTGCAAAGCATCTGCATACGTACAGCAGGGACCACGATAATGAGCATGCAGGCAACCCCAGCCAGGATTAGAGCCGGAGCACAAGTCTTCTTCCTTCCAATCCGGTCCATTGCAAAGCAGCCAATCAGATAAGAGGGGAGTTCCACTGCACCTGGAAACAACCAGTCACAGCAGCCATGTGGTCAAAGGTTTGTCATGCCACTGACATAGTGATATTTAATCTAGCAGATCTAAATAACCAACTGATGTTTGACTAGTGGCAGAGACTTCAAGGTATTGGGAGAAGGCCCAGAAATACAAGAATAAACAAATCTGTTTTCTTTATTTTGTTGTTTAAAATGAAAAACAGTAATTAAAGGGGAGTGTTGGCCTAGTGGTGAGAGCAGTGCGCTTGTGCTCTGAGATGGTTTGCTCCCCAAAGGAATGGGTTAAATGCAGAGTTAATTTCTCCATTGTGACATCAATAAAGTTCAATTTCTTCTTTTTTTTTTTTTAACCAAACAATTTAAGTCCAACATAACATGGCAAATAAGTTCAAACATTGAAAGAAGAAAGAAACTAAAAGACCAATATTTTTATATTCTCTGAAAGTCAGTGAAAACTATGATCAAATAAACTGAGAAATAAGATTTAGTCAAGGAACAGTTGTCAGTACACCAAGTCTGCTTTTTTTTTGAGAGACGAAAGCTCTGTTTTTTTTGTTTTTGGAAGAATTGGTAGCTTACGTAAAGAGATAACGAGACCTTGGAACGACCCTTTTCTCTGAGAATGAGATAATATGAGCAGTGCATCTGTGATCTGTTTGAGAAATCTTATTTCCTTTATTAGATACGATGCGGAAACCATTTAGCTGAGGAGACTTTTTGTACATTTCTGGCTCCGTTACCAATAAACACAGCTGTAAACAACCCTAACTTGGACAACAGCAGCAGTTGTTCTCACTCAAACATCATAGAACTATTGTAGTGGAAAGTTTAGGTACCACTGACTAAAACTATTGTAAACATGAACAAATTAAAGAAAAAACACAATATTCTCAACATTTTGAGAAAGAGCTCCATAATTCATTGTTATTAATACATTTTTTTTTATTCCCATTCATATTTTTGTATCTAGAAGTATTTGATTTTGATCTGGACATAAAAAAATGGAGGCCATTTTTGTCAAATATGTGTGTAACATTTATGACTTATGATTTATGAGGATAGCTTTATGTCACTTGAAATGTCTTGCACTTTATCTGAAAATGGCCAAATAAAAACATCTATTTGTTCATAACTTTATTTTTGGAATTTGTGGAGCTGTAAACTATACAACTTGCAGTGAAATCACTGTTATATTCTGTTTGTTTTGGGGTTTTTTTAGCATGTAAAGACTGCCTAACCTGCAAGGATTTTAATTGTTATAAATGCAGATTAAAGCATTAGTATGAGGTAACATGAATGGTCAGTTTTGGAATAATTTAATGGTGTAAATTCTTTACAGACAGATTTTTGGCAGTGGGAGGTTTCTCTACCTTTATATATTATATACTGTGTGTGTGGAGTTTTTAAATTCCATCTTATATTTTGTATTATTTAATATAAATATGGTGTGCTGTTGTTTGATGGAAAAAAATCAGTACCATGATAGACATCTGAAAATTATGGCTCTTCAAATTTCACTTTGAAACCAAATGTAGATGTCATTTGGACATAAATCATGTTGTTTTTTCAATGTCTTTTCAGCCAATTTTTGCATGGTGAGAAAGGTCTTACTTTATTTCCTGCTTCAGGAATGGCCATATTTACTGTATTGTAAAGTCTACTCCTGTAAATGTACTTACTTACTCCTGTAAGTAAATTTGTATCTGTATAGCATGCATTCTCATATCTTCTTGAAAAAAACTTTGACCTTAATCTAAATAATTTATTAAAACAAAAAGGTGCCTTTTCTGTGCAAATTTAAATCTCCCCAACAGACACTCACCTGCGAGGAAAAGATTGATATACTGGTTTCCTCCCAGATTGACTGAGCCTAGAGAGAACACGTAGTAGCCCAAGCTGCCAATGAACCAGATGGCCCACACTGTGCATGTACGGCCCACCATCCTCCAGCTGCCAAACAGGTCCAGGAAGGATAGCTTCTTCTCTGACTGCGCAGGATTCTCCTCTCCCTCCTTCTCTAGCAGAGGTTTGCCGTTCTCCAACTTCGCCGGCTCCAGGAGATCCTCCGCCTTAAGTCGACACTCAAGCCCGTTAAAGCGGGCTATCATGTCCAGCAGGGCTTGAGTCTCCTTATAACGACCCTTGGCCATTAAATAGAAAGGCGTCTCAGGGAACTTCCAGCAAAAGAGCAGGAAGGGTGAGGTGCATACGGAGAGGATGATCTGGTAGATCCACCAAACTCGAACCAGGTAACCGGTCAGAGCCACCACCATGATGCCGACAGCAAAGGCTGCATGGATGTGCATGGAGGTCCATGTTCGCACCTTGCTGCCAGTGAACTCCGTCACATACACAAATACAACAACCAAGTAGCCACTGGACACCTGTCAACAACAAAGAGAAAGGAAGAAAGAAGAACATAACAGCAGAAATATTTTTACAATTATCACAGTTAAGATGGCAGAGTTAAAAAAAAAAAAAAAATCATAGGTTCCTTTTGATCCTGCGTGGCTAAAAAACGTCAACTTGTTAAGAGTTCAAATGTTGTCCTCTCTTTTAGACCCCATAGTCAACTCTTTGAAGTATAAATGACCTACTGCACTGCCACTACTCTGAGCTTTACACTAGAATAAAGCTCAGAGTTTAAATAAATGAAACTGAAAACATCTTAAAAACATGCTTGATTTTTCCTTAATTCTCTAAAAATTTGTAACAAGTTATTTTCTACCATAGGAGGTAAAGCCCTTCAAAACATAATGGCTTTTTTTATTATGTGACAGTACAGCAGTCAGTCTTCAAAGCCGAACTTCACGGCTATAAAGCTGTGTGGTTACAGTTGTGAGTATTTGAACGTCTGTTTTTATGTGAAAAACAACAGCTGTAGCTGATGAGGAGTAGAGGGGAGCACTGGTAGAATGAGGCTGACGTAAGATTTCCTTTCAGTAGAACTTACTGCCATGTGTGTCCCAGCCTTTAGAATTCTTGTTTTCTTGGGGGTAGGGGGGCATGCACATACTGTGAATTGTAGAAGTTAAATGTGCCGAACTCTGAAAACGTCCTAGCATATTAGATTCTATTTAATCTTAAACATCTTGCATGTCACCCCTAAAAGAATGCATGGGCCAAACCAAATACATAAATAGCAGGGTTATATCTTTTATGTTGTCAGATAGATGTTTGGTCCATGGGTAGGAAAAACTCCCCATCTCAATGTGAGACTAATCTGCAAAACACTTATTTCACTCACATGGTGGCCAATGTACATGTGATTCTGCTGTCTTGCTTAAGGGATCCATGGTTATATAAGCAAATACCAATAAAGCAGTGAAGAAAAACAGGAACGAGGATTAAGAACGTAAGTATTATATATTGCCTTATTTACAAAGAAATATTATAAAGACGAAAATTACACTCGGGAATTAAATATAGATTTATCTATATTCCAATTTTATTTTTACAAGATTTCACACATCACTGGCACCGCCTTGCAAAGATCCTCTGAACTCTTCATTATTTTTCACATTTTCACAGCTGACAAAAAGGATGTTCTTTTTTCCCATTTTTTTAGTGGACTGGATTTTTATCCTAAAGTTTTACTCTGTTATAAAGAAAACAATGTGCCACCAATCAACCAACTAAAATTTACAAAATTCTTTCATTTCAACTTAAAATAAAAACAACTGTTCCATCACAATCTTAGAGATTTGTCTGAGAACATTTGTTAACAAAAGGTACATAAAAAAAATACATATAAATGGATTCAATGTTATTGTGTTCTTCATTTGAGGAACAACGAACCAGATAACTCAACATATACTTCCTGTTAGTCTAGTGGCAACAATGCCATGTTTTATCTTGGCTTTCTTCCTTACGTCCACCACAGTGTGGTAAAACCAACATTTCCTAACCTTAACAGGCTTTTAATATTGTGATACTGAAGTTGACCAAATGTGAGCTGAGCTTAGAAATCTAAATTTACATACACGGAATGACTGGTATTTTCTAGTAAACCCTAAACTTACCATGGCGAGCAGAAAGCGAAGCACCACAAAAAAGTAGTAGTTCAGGGAGAACGCCACGGCGACCCCGAATCCAAACTGACACAGGCTTGTGAGCATCATGATCTTCACACGACCGAATCTTTTGGAGAGACAAAACCAAAGAGTGGAAAAGGGATTGGACAATGAGCATGGACAGAGCAACAGAAGAGGTTACATGTTCAGGTAAGAATATTAGCATTTACTGTGGGGTGGCCAGGTTCAATCCCTACATGCTTTTACTCTGGGTCCATAAGCAAGAGCCTTTATCCCCCTGTTACTGCTATCTGAGTGGTGGGTTAGATGAAGTGGTCAATAAAAAAAAAACACACTATATCTATATATATATATATA